AAGCATCGTACATAAACATTATCTTACACAAACATCATCATACACAAGCATCATACACAAACATTCATCATACACAAGCATCATACACAAACATTATCCTACACAAACATCATCAAACATAATCCTACACAAAGCATCGTACAAAACATTATCTTACACAAACATCATCATACACAAGCATCGTACATAAACATTATCATGCACAAGCATCATACACAAACATTATCCTACACAAGCATCGTACATAAACATTATCATACACAAACATTATCCTACACAAGCATCGTACATAAACATTATCATACACAAACATTATCATACACAAGCATCGTACATAAACATTATCATACGCATTATAATACACAACACATTGTTGTATGGCTGTACAATAACATTAACATACAGGGAAGAGGCTAATGATAAATTATAAATCTCCTCAGTAAGGCTTAATTGAACATTTAAACACAGAGGTTGTGGCGTTAAGACATACACACTGTGGTTCACGTCTTCCCAAGGAACGTATATGGCTGAACGTCAGTGAACGGACCGTTCTGGACGACACGTTCAGAATTCAGTGTTTCTCCCTTTCTTCCCGGCCTCCTCGTTGCCAGACGTATACCGCAGCCGCATTTTGAGGTTTGCTTGTGGTTTATGCGGGTTTTTTTTATCATAGGTTTGTGTGGTTTATACTTAAACCAACATGACCTAGCTTATATTAATCTAGAATATTTTTTAACTAGAAAATAGGAAATGTTTCAGAAAGTGGAGAGGAAATAATCATAATAATTATAAAAAAATAATAATAATAATAATAATAATAATAATAATAATAATAATAATAACACACGGGATATATACACAGAGAGGTGTATTACTGTGTATATATGCTAAGAGTTTAATACTAATTTAGGGATTAAAGTATTTTTGTCTGGTGGTGCACAGGTTACGTGCAGTCTTAATAACCCTAGCGTAGTCGATAGTCTTCAAACCCTCCTTAACAGGTAATAAAAACAATAAGCAACCCACTCCACACACATGACCAGGACACTGTCCTGCTCACTATCCTCGACACTCTCCTGGTCACTGTCCTGGTCACTCCTGGTCACTGTCCTGGTCACTCTCCTGGTCACTCTCCTGGTCACTCTCCTGGTCACTGTCCTCACACGGTACAGAACGAGCGTTCTGTCTCCAACATTATAAGAGACAGCGATGTATTAAGTTTGTTATCGATGAATAATTACCATATACGGTGATTTGAGTTAACCTAAAATAAATGAGATTTAAATTTTGAGGAGTTTTACGTCGCTGAGCTGCTTAGAATGCGACGTTTGTGTGTGTGTGTGTGTGTGTGTGTGTGTAGTAGTAGTAGTAGTTTGTGTGTGTGTTTAGTAGTAATAGTTATGTATGTGTAGTAGTAGTAGTGTGTGTGTGTGTGTAGTAGTGGTGGTAGTTGTGTGTGTGTAGTATAGTAGTAGTTAGTAATAGTTGTGTGTGTGTGTGTAGTAGTGGTAGTATTGTGTGTATGTAGTAGTAATAGTTGTGTGTGTGTAGTAGTGGTAGTAGTTGTGTGTGTAGTAGTAGTAGTAGTAATAGTTGTGTGTGTGTGTGTGTAGTAGTGGTAGTAGTTGTGTGTGTGTAGTAGTAGTAGTAGTAGTAGTAATAGTTATGTGTGTGTAGTAGTAGTAGTAGTTATGTGTGTGTAAATTAAAGAGTGTATGTGGTCTTGGACCACAGGACTCTGTATTGTACTCTTCACTACTCTGGTCCCAAACCCTACCCCTTATCATCTGTAGTTTAACCTAGCTTACCCTCACTCATCTGTAGTCTAATCTAGCCTGCCCCCTTCTCATCTGTAGTCTAATCTAGCCTGCCCCCTTCTCATCTGTAGTCTAATCTAGCCTGCCCCCTTCTCATCTGTAGTCTAATCTAGCCTGCCCCCTTCTCATCTGTAGTCTAATCTAGCCTGCCCCCTTCTCATCTGTAGTCTAATCTAGCCTGCCCCCTTCTCATCTATATCTAATCTAGCCTGCCCCCTTCTCATCTGTAGTCTAATCTAGCCTGCCCCCTTCTCATCTGTAGTCTAATCTAGCCTGCCCCCTTCTCATCTGTAGTCTAATCTAGCCTGCCCCCACTCATGTATAAAGTAACCAAAGTTGTAACCTTTTCTGTGGCCTTGTTTTTGTCTATGACATTTTCCAGCTCGCCCAGGAAGGACAAGTTTCTCATTCCTGGTTAGAGTTATTCACTATAAATGTTGCACTGTTGGTGGCAGGAAATGAGTGTCTTCACTTAATGAGCTCTGCGTTGAAGTGAAAGAGTCACTGGTTGGCGAAACGTCTTCAAAATAAAGATATCCAGGTGTTGCACATGTGTCTGATTCATCGACTATTGATGTTATGAATTGGACCTGCCTACCATGTCCTCTGTTTTTATATAAAGGTCACTCAGAGACCTCTACATAAGAGGTCTTTTATCCAGGGCACGACTCATACCTCAGACACACGCTTCAGAAATATCTCAAGACTAGAAAAAGAAGTGGGGTGAGGCGGTAAAGGTGAAGGCTGGGTGTTCCATTCGTAAATGAGGCAGGGCAGGTGTGAGTGTAAACACATGCGAAGAGATTCTCATTAGAGTGTAAACATACAGTGAAATATGTGCTACACATCGAGAGCAGAGACGCACAGGTGGACAAACACATACAGAGACTACACATACATGTTCAGAATACAGAAAACTGTACAGGGTTAATAACCCAAGAAGCATGGGCTAGTTCCGTTGGGGGGGGGGTGACCGAAGCCCACTCATTCTTAAGTAACTGTTTACTGGTAGGTAATAGAGGGTGACAGGTGTTAAGAGATATCATCATATATCCCGTCCTGTGTAGGGTTCGATCTCTGGTCCTCTAACTTGTAAGCAGAGCTCTCCTCCGCTGCGCTGTGAGGTACTGGTGATTGAATAGTTGGTTATTAAGAAAGCTTAACGACGAGTTAGTAGAAACACTATAAAAATTGAGCTGATGTGTTCTCGTTGGACTTTGTTGATCTCGTGACTGAGTCTTCAAAATATTTTTCCCGGGACAGCTAACCAATCCATCTTTTGATTTTATTAAAATACTTGTATGAAATGACAAGCTTGAATAACAAGAATGTTCTACAAGCTAACGACGAGACATGTATTTATATATATTATATATTATATATATATATATATATATATATATATATATATATATATATATATATATATATATATATATATATATATATATATATATATATATATAATATGACAGCTAAGGAGGAAAGTATAAGCTTAGACACACAACCGCAATTCAAGAAGACGTATATTGTGGGAAACGTATCGCCACTCGTGGCGAAACGTGTCTCTGTCTACACAGTGTCGGTATCACTATACTTCTCCAGTCTTAAACAGTGGTGTTGTTCTTGAGTTAGAACGTCTACTTTCACACAAATTGACCTTCCTGCATTTCCGCGCACTCGAAATGGACCAGAATTGTTATCATTCGCTATTCTGGTTAAGGTTATGTTTGTTTAGATTAGCGTATATTACCTTATATTTCCGTACAGTTAACAACAATAATGAAATAAAAAAGGGAGGTGTCTTACGTCTGGCACCGCCGCTTATTGCTTCATTTCCAGAACAATAAAACGTTAGAAGATGGCTGAATTCTGACTTTATTATTCCGGCCTCATTTTCCTCAGTATTGTACAAATGTAGTTTATTAAGAGACAGTTTTTGTTAAGTAATTCAGTATCTAATTGAACAGTTTTGTTTTCTTACGTTTGAGCTTTCTGTTGTAAATGTTTTCGTAGGTTCTTGGGAGTTTCAGCGTCGGTCACTTACCGTAAGTTGTAACTGTGGCCCGTGGACTGGTGGCTAAACCTTTCGCTTCACACGCTGAGTGTCCGGGTTTGATTCCCGGCAAGGGTAAAAACATTGGGCCTGTTTTATTACACCGGTTGTCCATGTTCACCCATCAGTAAAAATGAGTACATGGGTGTTAGTCGACTGGTGTGGGTCGCATCCTGGGACAAAGTTGACCTGATTTGTCCGAAATGCTCTGCTTAACAAGGGGTTTTCTATATGGTAGTGTCATTGACGTCAGCTAGGCCTGTATACCTTGTACATGCACTTGTAGAAATAGATATTATTGTCTCATCGTGGGTCACTAACCATAAGTTGTAAGTGCTCTTCATTGAGAACTGCGCATCGAGGGTTTTAACTTTTCCCAGAAGTTTGTTCCACTTTTCATATTAGAGCGCAACATGGGTCACCATCCCACAGAAAACGGGATTTGGGCCTCTGCCTATTTTCTATATCTAAGATGCGTCTGTCACGTCGTGGTATGTCTGGCCCCGTCATGAAAAGTGGTAAGGTTGTATGTGGACCGTTTAAACTGGTTAGTGAAGGATCGCGACACTTTGCAGTGGTACGGAGGGTTTGCTTGAGTTACCCCTGAATCTGTTGTTGACATTAATCTCTCAGGGACTTGGGTACGTCAGCCACACATCGCTGGCTACTCACGGAACTCGGAACACACTAGAAAACTTCGTTAATAGGCGTTGTACTTCTCCTAGCATGATAAATAGATAAACAAGTTTATTTAGCCACAGGTACACATAAGTGCAAATATCATACATGGTGCAAATTACCTAGGATATCCCAAAAAAAGTCAAGACTTTATTTTTATTGGGGTCCTTGATGTATTGCGTGTGTTATGTATGTTTATTAAATGTCATTAATCGCCCTTCTGTTCAGCAAGTGTTTTTTTTAGATATACTCTCAAGGATATTCGTATTAAGAGGTTTGTACTATAAGGTGTGATCGTAATCACTACGAAGTATATTTACATCTACGATATTTAGATTTGTGGTGAAGTAGGATGTGGTGATGGTGTGGTAGAGAAGGGAGCGGGTGTAGTGAGCAGGGTGACCGGAGAGGGAGTTGGCAGGGTGTCTGGGTCGCCGGCCACAGCCACCCCAGTTGAGTTTGGTTGTTGGTGGCGGAGGGTTGGCAGGGCAGAGGTTCACCTGTTGTGAGGAACTTCGCCTCGCTCTCGCTGCTGCCCCTCACTTACTGCCTCGCCCCGTCACTCTAGTGACCAACACACTAGATCTGGTGTGCACCAAGCAAAGGCTAACATGTGCGTGTGTCACTTAGAAAAATTAAGTGGTTCATGGTCAGTAGTGGAGTTTATGTGAGTGCAGTTGAGGTGTGGAGAGGCGGCGAGCGCCAGTGTGTGTGAGAGGAGCCAAAGCTCAGTACCCAGCCGTAAGATGGCTTACTTGGTGTTACCTTATTCAGGCAGCCGCGGAGAGTTATCACTGTGGGTGTAACTGTGAGCCAGGTGCTGCGGCCCGGTGCACGAGGAAGTGTGTGTGTGTGTGTGCACACGCCACGTGATGCCTTCAATTATATATTCTCTCCCGTGCACGGAATCAAACACAAGTTTGTTTACATCTTGATGATGTGTGGGTGAATGTGGCGATGTTTGCCCACATGAGCGGCAGGACTAGGGGAGGTGGGGGAGGCAATGGTGGGGAAGTTAGTAGTAGTACTGGAGGGTTGAACAACAAAACTTGGGCTAGAGATATGGAGGAGAGGAAGAAAGGTTGGTCGCGTGACTCCAGTGGAGGCTGGGTGAGGGAGAACGCTGGCGGTGGCTCCACCAGTAACCTGGCCAACGCCAGCATCACCAACAATCTACGTTACCGTCGACGCAGCAATAGCAGCGTGCCTAGCCTTTGTAGCAACGGCAACGGGTACAGCAACAGCGGGTGTCAACGAGGGTCTTCAGCCAGCCCGAGGGCCCCCCACAGTAAGGGCTTCTGGGTGCAGGAGCCTGAAGATTATCACTCCCGCTGGGTCACCACCAAAACACCAGACTCTGAGGGCAGTACCACGCCCCTTACCTGGCCGCCCACGGGAGGAGGGGGCAGCCATGGGCGTGACGGGAGCTACTGGGGGGCGTGCATCTCACAGCCCTCCTCCCCCCACAGGGCTCCGGCTACGCCCCCTCCACTAGGGTGCTCCACCACTCTGCCTAAGGTATATAAGAGCCACGCCACCTGGGTTAGTACACTGTGATGTGTCCTCACCTGTGTGGCTTACCTGTGTTCACTCACTATACTCCTAATGTATGTTGCATTAGCCTTACTTGTGTCCTTGTCTAGTTTACCATATATGTTTGTGACTGTCAGTGACAGCTTAATTATTCTTTAATATACCTGCTAAATCAGAAATGCTTCATATCTGCTTTTGTTTGTGCCCACCTAGATGTGGTTGCTGATGGCATCTACTAGATACATACTGCATATTTCACTAACTCCCTGCCTCATGAGCCCTGCTGTATCTATCATCAAAACTGTGTATGTAGTATGTGCTTTCATCACTTCCGTGTACAGGTCACTCTACTTCCTGACTTCTCTGGGGACTCAGGTATTTTGTGACGTCCCCGTGACTTATTTACGTCTAACTTCTATCAATGCTCTCTTGTCCGCGATCTCTACCTTTCAAACAGTCTGTCACTGTTCGCCTTAAGTCCTCTTGGGTATTTTGTGTGTTAGCGTGTTTTCCTTGGTCCGTCTGTCGTCTAAGTTCGTCAGGCGCTGAAGTTTCTTCATCTTGGTTAGTTATTTAAGCTCGCGGACCTGCCTTGTTGCGAACTTCGTGACTTTCTTTAGTTCTGTACTTACTTGATCAAGTGTAGCTCTGAACACTCACTGACAGGCCTGACATCTGTCGGATAAATGTTTTGCTTAAACGACTAATCGGTTAATGTGTTTCTTCGGCGATATTTGGGGTGCTATACTTATCCCGGGGCTGTTATCCTTGTTCCCCCCAGGCTATACTTTGTCTGATATTTTTATCCTTTCCCGAGTCTCATAACTTGGCACTTACGAGGGTTGAAGTCGTGTAACAATCTCTGTTCATTCCTGTCGTCGGGCAGTCACTTCGTCATCGTTCTTTGGCTTCTTCAGTTGTATTTATCCTCGATAAATTTGCACCATTGTGATGAGCAATACATAAGACTATCTTTTCTGGCATGTTGTTGACGTGTAAGAGGAACAATATAAGTCCCAGTACTGACCCTTGTTGGGCCCAGGTCGTCAAGCCTGCCTCTCAGGATACTCCCTCACTCACCATCACCATATCGAACATTCGGGTGTGCTGTGATCTACTGTAGTTGCCTGCTGCAGTGCGCGAATTACTAAAAAGTTAGTTTGGACCACCACTGACACCATACATGCAGGTTTTTATGTTCACAGTGGTGGTTATTGCTAATCTTTTCTAGAGTACAAAGTGTACCTAGAAGGAAGCATCTTATTATAGCGTTGTCAAGTTAGTTGTATGGCTGCCTAGCCGCAGGTTCGCACGTTAAGCACTCTCTCTCTCTCTCTCTCTCTCCTCTATATATATATATATATATATATATATATATATATAATATATATATATATATATATATATATATATATATATATATATATATATATATATAATATATATATATGTCGTGCCGAATAGGCAGAACTTGCGATCTTGGCTTAAATAGCAACGCTTATCTTGCGATGTAGGATAAGTGAAAATTTGTGTATGCAATAATTTCGCCAAATCATTCTGAACCTAACGAAAAAATATATTTGATTGCGTTTGTTTAGTACTAAATTATTGTAAACGTATTTAAAATATATTTAGTTGGGTTAGGCTAAAATAAATTGTTCTTGTTATAATAAGATTAGGTAAGTTTTCTAAGATTCTTTTGGTGCAAAATTAAATTTTTTTTACACTAATATTAATGAAAAAAATATATCTTTACACGTATAAGAGGAAATTTCAGAAAGGACTTAATTTTAAATGAGTTCTTGCTAATTGACCAGTTTTACATATTCGGCACGACGTATATATACACAGTGGTGCTCGTCACGTCATTGTACCGCCGCCCCCACACAAGTACCAAAACACAAACACATACCATGAAAGATTATAATATATATACTTGCACACTTACTGAGATTTTAATACTTGGTGCTGCATCCTTTGCACTTAATCACGTCCCTCAACCGTGTAGGAAGTTTCTCACACAAATTCTTGATGGTTTGGGGAGGTATATTATTCCATGCCTCATGTAGACTCCTCCAGTAGACCAGCTCTTCCCAAAGAGCACAAACAGTCCCACTGGGACAAACCGATCATGGAAAAAATTACGAACACAATGCTCACCAACGCTTCAGGAAAGGACAAAGCTCGTCTCCTGGCAGTGAAGGCACCACACTCAGGAGATTAACTTTCAGCTGTTCCCAGTTCCTCTGTGGGCACTCGACTCGACCCAGAGACCATTCGGATTGGTGTTGCTCTTCGCCTAGCCACCCCCATTTTCACCGAACATAGGGGTATTTGCGGCAAGGCGAGGGCTGATCAATTTGAACTTCATGGTCTCGTGTGTCACACATCAGAAGGGAAGTATGCAAAACATGAGGTCGACGACATAAAGAGAAGCCTTGCCACAGCCCGTTGCCCAGCTCAACGGGAACCCCAAGTACAGAGGTCTGACAGAAGTCAAAAGCGTCCTGATGGAGCCACTATGCTACCCTGGAAGGATGGTAAGCAGATTGCCTGGGACTACACCTGTGCCGCCACATTGGCAGGGTGTCTGCACACTTTCTGAGGTTTTAATACTTGGTGCTGCATCCTTTATGCTTAATCACGGCCCTCAGCCATGTAGGAAGACTTGCACACAAATTCTCGAGGGTTTGGGGAGGTATATTCCATGCCTCATGTAGAGCAGCCTCCAGCCGAGGGATGGAACTGATATCCTTGCCCAGTAAATTTCGTTTCACTATGGACCAGAGGTTCTCAATAGGGTTTAGGTCTGAGGAATTGCCTGGCCAGTCATTAAAGAACCTCACTTCACAGTCTTTAAGCCACTGAACTACAGATTTGGTGGTATGACATGGTGCACCATCCTGAATAAAAACCGTAGCCCCACACTTGTCAAATGCCTCGGGTAAACTGTCACACAACTCCCAATAATTGTACTGGTTCATATACTGGTTTTTGGGAAGCAAGCGAGTTCACCAACACTCTGAGCACTGAAATACCCCCAAACCATGAGTGAGTCTGGGTGTTTGGTGGTCCCACAGGTGTAGCGTTGGTCTAGCGGGTCACTACCTCTGGGCCGGTACACGTTCCCCATGATTACATGGTGAAGGTTGCCTCATTACTCCAAAGTACTTCAGACCACTGTTGAAGCTTCCAGTGAAGATATTTCTTTGCATAATCCAGCCTATGTTTCTTCTGTGGCTTGGAGAGGATCAGTTTCTAGCCTGGCGGTTACTACTGTAGCCCAGTTCTGACACACGTCTAACAGCTCTTACAGACACCTCTGAGGATGTGGGTTTTTTCAATTCTCTAGCAGTTTTCTTAGGTGTACTCTCAAACTGCTTCTTTAACACAGGGTACGAACAGATGTCTTCGAGGGGCCAGGCCGAGGTTTGGTAGACTGTAACTCAACACTGCCACCAGCCTTGAAATGCTGCACCCAGTTCCTCACTGAATGCTCTCACATACCAACATTCTCCACTATTTCTTTCATCTGTTGCCCAGCTTTGTGAAGCCCTATGATTTGAGCTATAGTTTCAGGTGTTAAAGACTTCCTTTTACCTATAATCAAACATGTATAGCCCCAAAACCAAAGGGAACACCGGACAAAAGATGGGGTGGATGAGAAACAAAAGTGCAACACTTCCTCTCACCATGGCAGCCACGTGAACACTGAGGAGTCACTGTGGAGTATGGCGGCAGGGCATGATGTCATGCTAATGGCTGCTACCCAGCATAATGCACCGACGAAAAAGACCTGTATGGTAGGCCTTTGATTTTCGTTATGGCATTATGCTGGGGCACTCGCCCGGCATAATGCCATGATTCTAGTAATTTGCCTACAATTGTAGTGCGTGAGTGTGTGTGTTATATATAT